TGATGGAGAGCTTCAAACACTGCCACCGGGTCTTGAAGGTGGCTTGCGGGATGTTGACATCAGTAGCCTGGTCGAAATAACACATTTCAGCACGGCTTTTGTAACACAACATAAAAAGTTAGCAGGTCCCAGCTACCAGTTACCAGCAAGCCACGTAATTCAGTTCTGGAAATGGCTCAAAATGTGTGTAATGGCACAGGTTGCTTTAACATGGCATGATTGTCGCGACGAGCTCCGCCACTAGCTGAGGCCACATACTTCAGATTTGTACGTAGATGTGTAGTACACTTAGGCTTTTAAAGTATAGGTCAGGTCTAACTGCACTTCCACAGGCCAACCGTCACACAGCATCAACATGCAGCAGCCCTGGACTTTTGGGCTGGGGGTTTGTGGAATCTATGGAATCTATGGACACTGTATCCAGGTTTCAATTCCACTGCATTTTTACGGACTAAGTAGCTGGCCTCCTCGGGTTTGGCGGTTGTGGCTGGCGGCAAAAGAGCTGTTTGAAAGGAATTTGCATACTTTGAGGCTTACGGGCTTCAAGCTTCAACAGTCACGAGGCTCACGTGTGGAGTTCAAGAGCTGTCACCTGCAATGTTTACACTACACTGTCTACAGTCTAGAATCTAGAACACTGTCAACACTCATGAATGCAGCGGCTTTAATCCTTGTTCTAACAGCCTTGGCCACTTTATCCGATGTTACCCAACCCACATGCAATCGGATCCTTGCGCATTGCCACAGTAGTCCTAGTAAGACTTTGTTTTGCCCAACACCCAATCATCCCAATGTCGTTTCTAAGACTTCGACTGTTGCAAAGTTTTGGGGGCTCGACACCGGATCGCACTCAATGCACTAAATGGCTGCATCATCAACAAACAGGCTGCTAGCTAGCAGTGGGTCATCCGACACACATGTGAACCGTTCAAGTGACACATCACCCCTTCACAATGCAACGCACCTCCACTTTGGCGGTCGCCAACATGCGCGGCACCAACTTGAACAACTTCGTCGCATCCTCCGGCTTCATGTCAACCCGGCTAAGCTGGGAGATGAGGGTCGCAAGCTCCTCGAGGGAAATGGTGTCCTTCTTGTGCAAGGCCTGCTCCAGGTTCACGAGCTCCACTGCCACCTGATGCTTTTCCTTCCAACGCTTCAGCTTGGAAATCGCGTCCAAGACACCCTCGCGAGCCTCGAAGTGCGGCAAGCCTGACGCGATCACCGCATAGAGGTCCAACTCCTCCGGGCCCGGGCTGGAGCACAAAATCAATGAGAAAGCTGACTTCAAGAGTGAATCCAGCATTGGCGTCTCCACTTTGTCCATCATGCCCTGCCTTACTTCGGCCTTCATGGCCGGGACTTCCTCCACCAAGATCTTGAGCTTCTCCTGGTCGAGACTGCCCGCGACCCAGTCTCTGAACGTCCGATAGCGAGGCAAATGCTTCATGGTCGCCACACCCGTCTTGATGATGTCATTGGCCACAGCGGCCCAGAATTCGGACTGCAAACTGTTCTTCACGCTGTTCTCAAGGAAATCGGTGCCACTGTAGTTTCGCATCTTCTGCAAGTCCTCCACCGTGGCGCCAAAGGTGTTGTCTGCCGACAACATGACACAGAATGCTTTGCAGATGGCCGAGATGGAGAGGCAAACGTTCTTCACGGGATCTGCCACACCACTGTCGTCCTGGCCCTGCAGCCACTCGGTGATCTTGGTCAGCAGGCCCTCAGTCAGACCCTTGAGCTCCTTCAGGTGCAAGCGGCCACCGTTCAGCAACCGGAAGAAACTGTCACAAGCAAAGCTTTCCCCGAGGGATTCCGCGATGACCTGGCAATTGCAAACATCGGGAAATCTCGGGTTCATGATTTTGCCAGAATGCATGTCTCTTGTGAAGATTTCAGGCTCCGACGTATCAAAGTCAAACGAGGAAGCTGCAGCTACAAAAAGACAGAACGCCATCGTCAAATAGGCATTTGTTTTGGAAAAGGGAACACTCCAAAAAACGATTCAATGCCTCCTACGTAATCAAATTTAATTTTCAATCACTCTTCCCTCTTCTGGTTTTGCCTGGCTCTGCATGCATCATTTACTTGGGGAGCTGGGACCTACGACCTACGACTTCAGGACGCTTGGTCGTGGATTGATTCTATCTATGGACTTGGTTACCAGTTACTAGCAGTCAGCACCTATACACCGATGCCCCACCGTTGACCCTTATGGGCCATATGGTCAGCGTCATAGTCACCTACATGAACTCAAGACTGTAACCGACATGGTTTTGCACAGATGCTTCATATTCTGATTTTCTGGCAGGAAATGATGTCGCTGCAATGCTTTCATGATGACATCCAGGCATTCACTGACCATGATCTGAAAAACCTGCGAAGGTATCTTATCGGGACAGTCGAAGTGGCATGGATGGACAGTGTCCAACTCACACTACAAACTACATGGACGACTACTACTGACTGAGTACTTCGAGGGAGCCGCCATGGGGAGGACAGGATGCCCAAGAAATTATGTACAGACATGAGCAGCACCGTGCATGTGTGCATCGTGCATGTGTGCACCGTGCATGCGTGCAACTGTCAGCTAAGACTGCATCGCAAACAGACGCTCACACACACACACACACACACACACACGCGCGCACACACACACACACCCCGCGACACACACTTGGAAGCGGTAAGTCGCACCGCACCGTCGGATGGCTTCTCATTACAATGTGCTTGCTTGCTTAGTTGTGGAGTGGGCCTGAAAGCACTGTCAGATTGCTGCAACCGTACATGTCATGTGAGCCTGCAAAGACTGCTGAGCTGAGCAATGGACCAATGTTGGATTGCACAGCGAGGATATCACAAGATGGCACCATACACAGCTTGTATTATGAAGATGTCACAAACTTATCAAATTCTGCTGCAGGTACAGGAACGTGATCAGCCTTCCTCTCCCATGTCACTGGTAGCTGGTAGCTTCGTTGGACACAGTCGCACAGTCCCAGTGGCATGCTGTGTCCCCCTGCAAATGGAAATGACATCAAACTTTGACAAAGCTGCAATCTGACACGACAATAAACAACATCTTGCAGCACGAAGACTGACGGCTACCAAGCGAGATCGGGTTATGAGCCCCTTGCTTGCCTCATGTACGAGAGACGTTCACACACACGCTGCCCCTGCTGTCGGCTGCAAATTGCACTGCAATGTTACATAGAAGTGGCTTGTGTGCAATGTGCAATGACAGCAGGCAGAGCCTACAGATTTTTTCTAGGGCAGCATGCAGAGGATATCACGGTCAAGCTGCAAGCTCAAGGAAGGTTTGTAGCACAACTCTGTGGATCAAACCTGCAGGAGGTTTGTCAGCGACAAAGCAGTCAGCCTTTCAAAATGTATGTCAAAAGCTTTTCTATAGGTAGGTTTGCCTTTGAAGCAAATCAAGCTCGCGTATAAACCGCCATGCCATAATAGCAAACTAATCGCTGTCTGCGATATCTTGCTGGCTAGCTGGTAGCTGCTGGTTGCTCCAACTCGAGAAGCTGCAGAATATCTTCAATGTTGTCCGCCTTGCCCCCCTTACCCCTGCGTCCCTGCACTTGCAGACTCCGAATCCGCTCAGAGCTGAAACAACATCTACCCCACTAGTCACTAAGTCACTAAGTGCAGTCGACTCACTAGACACTCGAAACATTGCCGTGCCTCCATGGAAGCTGCCTCGTCATCCACGTCCGTGTTCCCGTCACCGAAAAGCTTGCTTCTCTCCAGAAGTGCCTGGAAGCCGGTCAGCAAGCCGTCGAATGTGGGCTCATTCCAATCGAAGGTGGCCGCCGAATTGGGAGTGAGGGCAATCTTTGCGATGATCCTCTCAACCTTGGCCTCCTTGGACTCCTTGGAGTTGGAGCTGGAGGCGGCACAGCTCTGCAACAAGTCCTCGAAAGCTGCTTCAACCTCGGCCACGGTGTGAGCACACTGCACTTGCACCGGCACGTCCCAGCTGACAGCCTTGATTGCCTCCAAGTGCATGAGCCTGTTGGCTTTGGTCATCCTTTTGACCTTGTCTAGGCCATCCTTGACGGACAAGAGGGTGGCTGCTTCGGCTGCGACCACGTAAGGTCGCAAGGAGATGTTGGTTTTTGTCGCCTTCTTTCTCCATTTGCGTGAGCATCCGCCTCGCCTGCATCCGAAACTTGCTACCGCTAAACCGCCATACATAAGGCGTAAGCCGTAAGCCCAAACAGTCAGTGGATCATATTGCTTTGTCACTGTTACTGATACTGCTCATGTTGTCTAGCAGCTAGCAGATAGCAGATACCAGCAGCAGCAGTCTGGCCATGCATTGGCAAAAACGTTCAACACAGCGACGCAATCATTGAATTAGTTGTTGAATGAATTCACTTAAAAACTAATTGAATGATTGTGTCGCTATGTTGAACAGTTTTGCTATCTACATGATCCGAATCCAGAGGAGGGCGTGAGAAGGTCCCACCGCGTCCACCGAACGGCCGTTGGCGACGGTGAAGCACTCCGGGTTCAATTTCAAGAAGCACTCAGGAATCTTGTTGATGCGCTGCGCGATGCGAGCAAGGTTGCCGGCCAGCTTGCTCAAGTTCGCATCGTCCAACTGAAGCTCCTTCTCCTTGTCCTTCCCAGTCGTGCTGGACCGGCCACCTCGGCTGAGTCGGCTTGGGGACTCCTTGCGGGCTTTCGAGCCAGCTTTGGCTTTGGCTCCCCTTCCTTTCGGTTTTTTCTTGTCTTCCTCCTCAAGCGTCCCAAGGTTCATCTCCAATGAGCCCGACGCTTGTGCATCCGCATGCAGCTGCTTCAGCTGCTTCGCAGCTTCGTCCTCCTCGGACTCGCTCTCGACCACTGCATGTCCTCTCGGACTGCACTGCTACGCTGCACTCATGTGTTTGGGAGCACATGTTGGCTGAAAGCTTTTGGTAATTTTGGTATTCACAGAATCCTCCTAGGCATCTTTGATCTACCCGATGCAAAGGACCATGTTGCAACTGAGGTGTGGCTACCAGAACTGTTTTACACCTGTGTTGTGTGCTGCCTGTGGGACTGTGGGCAAATTACCAATTTCAATTTCGGAGCTTTGAAGTGCCCTGCAAGTTGCGAGTCATGGACTCCTAGCCTTTGCTTCTCGATTTAGCATGCTACCATACCGAAAACGAGTGTCCATAAAATTATGCCACCAAGCTCCACAACATGCCATACGAAACATCAGGATCGATGCCATAGGTTTCAAAAGACGTGGTACTGAAACCAAGCTCCACAGCATGCCAAACGAAACATCAGGATCTATGCCATAGGTTTCAAAGGAAATGCTATTGCATAAAACGAACAAGCAAAGCCAATCACACCACGGACCTGCGGCTTCATCGTTGGCCTTGCCCGCACCCAGCTCCTCTTTCCTGTGTTCTTTCACCTCCAGGGCTTTCTGCACGACATCAGTGTACCTGAGACCGCCGGACTTGCTCTTCAAAGCTGCTTCGCGCTTCTCCAGCTCTGTCTTTGTGATCCACTTCCATGTGTTTGTGCCTTGTATCTGAGCAAGCTGGTTTTCCGGTTGCAGAAACAGCTCGTTGTGCTCTAGAATCTTGGAGCCGATGACTTTGACCCTCCGGCATGACCTCCACAGCTGCTCCGGCATGCCCACTGGGCTCATCAAGTACCCGAGCTGAGTCCCGCCGTTTTCAACTTTGAGCTCCACGGGCTTGTAGCCGCATGCGGAAGGGGTCATGTCTTTGCAGAGACTTGTCATTTCATCCTGATCCAAAAAGGCTAGTTTGTAGTACACTTGATACCCCTGCTGCTGACTGCGTTGAACAAGGCTCGGAGGATTCAGCTGGATCTGAGTCTCTTCTTCCACAACTTTAATGGCATTCTGGACGATCTGCTTGACTGCCGGATCCTGTTCCAGCTTGTCACACACCTTGGCCACGTCTTCCCCAGGATAGATGCGGACGATGATCTTTTTGTCCCGTCTGCAAAGAATCCCAACGGGTTTTCCTTGCTCGTCGTACAAGCCCCATGGAGTGTCCTGGAGTTCTGGTGGGCATCTTAACCTATGGGCTACAAAAGTCCGAAGCCCAAAAACTACGAAAACCCAAGTTGGCCCAAGTCCCAAGTACCCGGGCCGTCGGTTTGAGTCTCGCGACAACAAAATGATCATCACGGACACCGAACAACACCGTAACAGCAACAACAGCGAATGCACACAGCACATTTCTGGACCTGCAGAGCAAGATTAACACTGCATGCCTGCTCCTACGCAGCTATCAACGATAAGCTAGGCCAGCCTATAGGGCTATCGGCTATTAAATGGCTACTGTTATCAAGCGTGGAATGGAAGAGTCCGAGAGTCTCGAGCTGGAGCAGTCAAGCAAAGTGAAGTCAAAACCCTACATCCGAAATACTCATAGCAATCAGCTACGGGCCTGGGACTTGCGGCCACAGATGACACACGTCAGAATGATCATCACCTTCTGCTTCTTCAGACCAGGGGAAGGCCTCGAAGATGCAGGTATGCCGGCCACGTCATCCTTCCAAGCATCCGGAAGCAGGTCCGAGTCCAGCTCCATCAAACCAGGCATCGGCTGAGCGTCGGCGGGGGCGGTCTCCTGCTTCACCGGCTTAGCCTGCCAAGTATGCAATGCAAAGCCCCTCCTCAGTGCTGCGAGCCTTGTCTTACCCTGATCAAAACTGCTGCTGCTACTGCTGCTGCTGCTACTGCTGCTGCTGCTACTGCTGCTACCTTACTACCGGTATCGTTGGCAGCCAGTCGCTGCCGCTTATTACCTCCCCTGCCGACACATGTTGGCAAACACAGTGTATTAAACTCAAAAAGTCGCTCGCGAGGTCCAGACCGGGGCCAAAGCAAAGACTTCCGGCTACAATGTTGCAATTGCACCCGCCTTCGATTTGGCGGCGCTTGGTTGTTTCCTTTTCGACGCCATCGAGAACCTGGAGCTCAACAGTTGTTTCATCAAACGATTCATCACGGCACGGTTGCTAGCTGCTAGGAAGGGAGGCGTTTTGGCATGGTACACACAATGGAAACGCTTCTGAGACCGCATGACAGCATGGTCATGAATCCTGGCAAGCATTGGGGCTGACGTCACTGAAATGTCCTCAACTCTGAAGCCTTTAATCCGGGAATCCGTCGATGCGATCAGGGAACTCCGCACCGCTTTGCGCAAGTCGGCTGCTGCCTAGCTCTCGAGCTAGCTTCTAGATTCTAGCTGCCTAGCTGCTGCAAGCTGTTGGCCCCTGACAAAAGAGGCAATGGCGGTCAATGGCGGCAGCGGCAATGCATTCTGATGTGCTGCCTACTGGATCTCATGGACATGCCGGGCTGGGCTCAATCCGATTCAACGACTGCAGAACACTTGAACTTGGAGAGTCGGCAGACAAGGTAAGTGGACAAAACTAAGTAGCCCCATTATTCCAATCAAGGTTTGCGTAGGGTGCTTATAAATATACTTCCTACTTACCAAGCCCCTCGACTCTCCAAGCAAGACATGGCAACAGCTGTGTGACCGGAAATTGAAACTCTCTTCTCATGCATCAACTTCGGAAGGCTGCACTGTTCTATAAACTCCCTCAGCGCGCAGGCACATTAGCAATGTGATGGGCTGCCAGCTTCTGCAATATGAACCGGACTGCTATGACCGACTAACAAGCTTATGAGCCTAGGCCCAGAGCCTATAGGCCTACAGCTTAGACGTGAAAACCTACAAGGCATAAGGCTGGGCTTTGCGTGTAGCTGCTGGAACAGCACTCGTGCACAGCGTCACTGCTATCGCTGCACCACATTGCCTGGACGCTGTAGAGAACTACTTCCCCAGAGCCTCCAAAACACCTGAAATAAGTAATGTGACTACAGTGACTACAAGAAACCTTAAACTATATTCGATTATTCGGAGTCCTATTCCAAATTAAGGTGCATTCCTTATTCCAGGTATTTTGGAGGCTCTCGGACTTTACCTAGATCCATGTCAGTGGCCAGGCCTGGTGTCGGCGTCGGGTCATGCAAACGCTGCATCACACGATAGTCTGTGTGCATGCTGAGTTGATCACGATCACATCACTGTTTTGGGCCGTTCCCAAACAATTTTCTGCATAGCATTGACACAGCCTATATAAATTCAATGATTCCAAGAATCCTAATCATAATCTATGCCCTATAGAACCATGGTACCTAGAGTCCTAGAGTGACCTAAAGTCTAGAAATGGGACAGTGCACTGCTACCCGGTACGCGGCTATCTATCCAAACCATGGCCACTGCACCAGCATGCCACTCCACAGAAGGCACCAGAGGGAACACTGTTACGAACAGTGTTCCGGCAGAGAAAAAAACATCCCTTCGACGTCGCTCCACGTCGCTCCTTCGACGTCGCTCCACGTCGTTTACTCTATACTTGGAAAGCAGGGAACTTAATGACTGAGTAAGTAAGTAAGCAAGTAAGTGGTAAGTAGACGAAACAGACTGTGACGAAGCAGACTCATCAGTACCCTGAAAAGGATTGTAATTGGAACTAGCCCATTCAATAAGTCTACTTAATGTACTACCTGCTACTACCTACTTTGTAAAGTCACCCTGACTTTCCAAGTCTACTATATGTCGCACTCTACTTCTTCGCCGAATGCTGCAAGGAAGCCTCTCTCTCAGCAGCTGGACCTAACGATAATTTGCAAGGCTACGGTGCAAGCGCAAGGTTGAAGGTTCGTTTTGGGATTCAGTTTCGGTTTGGGGTTGCATAAGAGATGGACGATTAAAGCAAGTCCCACAAAGGCTGACAGACCCCCCCCCTCACAAGTAGCTGCATCCTTTATGCCTGCCTGAACCCCAAACCCAAAAGCCTGCACATGCAGCCTGAACACCACACCTAAAACCAAGTATCCCCGAGCAAACCCTTACCATCCCCATCCAGAAACCCTCAACTCTCTCTCCCTGTCATGAAAGCTGTCGTAATGTCCAACCAGATCCGAGCTGTCCCTGAGCAGGGCTTGCAGCTTGCAGCCATCGAATTAAGGCATGGAATCTGCACATCGCTGAAAAGTCCGGATTTACTCAGGAAACTGTTTGCAGAGGTAGAGTGCCCAGATAATCGTGCCTATGCACGGCAGTGCATAGCCCTCTCCCGCCAGGCTCCGCTTCTTGTTGTCTGTCATGTCAGCAGGAAAATGATAGTCATCAGGGTCATGCCCCTGCAGGCGAAAGTGCTCATCTACCGTGAGAACACGATCTCTGGAAAACACATACACCTGGCTTGAGGTTGTCAGCGTCCTGTGGACGCTGGTCTTATTGACAACCTTTCGATTGTGAGATTGCGACACGTCCAACCAAACGCCTTGCATCAAGTCCCGCAGCTGCCGATCAGTCAGCCTCACACCTAGCTTTCTCACAGACATGAGCCGTTCTGCCACGACACAATCCATGAGATCACAGATTCGAGGATTCAAAGTCAGCCCTGAACCACGAAAGTTCGGACGGCTCGTCCAAGGCCGATAATCAGGGAGTACACCAAGCTTGTCGCGCCAGCTGCAGCTCTCAAACCACCACTTCGGCTTCGGCGCCGTCGGGTCATCAGTGTCCAAAACCTGGCAGCAGGGCAGTGCCAGGCCAGGCGGGCAGGACAGCCAGGAGGAAGGGGTCGGGGCATCCGGGGAGCTCGGGACTGGGCTGGCTGGGTCCGGCGGGTTGGGCCTGGAAAGCGGCATTTTCAACCCATTTGGACCTCCATGTTTCCGCCATTCCAGACCCCATTCCAGACCCCATTTTTGGTCCATTCAAATCCCATTTTTTTTGCATTTTGCTAGGCAAAATGCAAAAAAAATGGGATTTGAATGGGAATGAAATGGAAACCAGAGGAGAGTAAGTGGGAATTAAATGCAACAACACATGGACTGGAAAATGCAAGGGAAATGGCTCTCCCAATGTAAGAGAAGAACTAGTCCTGGAAGCCGTTCCGTTGAAATGCGAAAAAAATGCAAGGCCGGGGTCCGGGCAGTCCCAGGGCCGAGGCTTGGGAGGGGGTCGGGAGATGGGGAGGGCCTGGAAAGGGATCTCTGAAGGGCAGCGGCTTTACTTCATAGGAACAATCGACGAAACAGCAACAAGTTTCCAAGTTGGGTTCAGAAGCCTCGCAACAAGCCCAGTAATTACAGCGACAGCCACAGCTAAGCAGCTAAGACAGCTAAGACTCGTAAGACGGCTAAGCATGGTCAAGAGTTCACAGCGACCGACTGCCAAAGGAGTGAAACTACGTCTGCCAGGTTCTGGACACAGCAGTGCTGCAAACGCCTGAAGTTGCCGAGGCTGCCCAACAGCCACGTCCTCCTCACGAAACTTGCCACGAAACATCACTAAACGACCAGCAGACTCACCAGACATGTGTTGCTGCTTGCAGCTTGCAAGATTCTGCAAGATCAAACGCGCTTCACTAAAGAGACTGAGATCTGCTCACTCATGGGATCGGCAAAGCCAGCTACAGCACAAGCTCAGGGATGGACACCGATGGACTCCATTCTCATGGCTCTAAATCAACCCACCCTGAAGCTCCATCGTCACTACCAGTGAATACCACCAACTGTCACTAACTCTGGAACCACCGTCCGTGTCCTCATTCTCTTCTGACAGCAAGGTCTCGCAATCGACTGGGCCGGCAGCTTTCTGCTTCAGCACAATGTCCTGACAGCAACGGTGCAGCACAAGTCAAGACTTTTCAGACAAGGGAAGCTATAGTAATAGAGTATTAGAACATAACAACAATAATAACAAGAACCCGAATCTAGAAACTCTCATCTGCAATCTACAATCTACAAATCTACATTTTACAAGATGGTTGAACGCTGACGGCAGAAACTACAGTAACAGTAACTGTAACTGTAACTGTAATAACACTACAATACTGAAGGCTGAGCTCCTCAACGATTGCTTCGAAGCGGGACACATCCGCCTCCGTGTATTTGTCCTTGCGGAAGAAGACCAGGAAGATCCTGCGGCCACAATTTGCAAACTGTCTCTAGCAGACTCTAGCAGCTCTTGCAGACTCTAGCAGCCACACACTCTAAGTCTCAGTCCAGCGCACAAAAACTTGCAGGAGCAAGACTGCCAGGAGTCCAGGAATACTTTGACAGTTGGTGATTGTAGTATTGTAAATATTGTAGTGCACTGGTCGGAAGTAAGTTTCACAAACATGTGGACCCAGACCTAACCATTTCAAACAAATAATGAAATAATGACGAACCTCCTGGCTACGTCCCCCCGACTGTCCAAATAATTGCAGCTAACAGGCAGCATTACTGCATCTGAGCAAGAGCAAGACATCTTTTTTTCAAAGACCCGGCCAGGTTGACTGAACACTCTGTGCTGAGCTGCAGCTGCAGCTAGGGGTTCCACACAGGTCCGTTCTGCGCTGGGCACTTTTACATTCTTTTAACAAGCCTGAAGGGTCGTTCTAGAGTATATTAGAGTCGCCAAGGATCATTAACATCATTATTAGCGTTGTTAGAGCTGTTAGAGTTAGAGTTAGAGTTAGAGTCTGTTAGAGTACAGCAGTAAAACACTGCAGTGGA